ATTCAGATTTTAAAATACCTTGTTCAGGCCCAGATCTGGACTGCTCATTTTTTTCGGTGGGGTGGGGGGCTCGAAATTTGTAGACTAAGTTTTTTGCGCAGCCGGACAAATTTGTCCCGGAGGTTCTTCCACCTCTTCGTGCACTCCGCGACCTCCAACCCCGTGTTTTGGGCGATTTCTCGCCACGAATTGTTTGCCATTTGGCAGTCTTTATAGTTCTTTGAGGACGTATTGTAGATGTGGTCGTACTTCCTGACTTCCTCGATAAGACGTTCCTCCAGCTGGTCCATTGCTGCTATCGGTACACAAGAACTTTAAAAATGGCGGTTTAGGAAGAAAGGCCGGAAAAAGCAAATCCCGGAAATTACGTTCTGAGCGGACCAATCACAGCGCTTACGGTCCCCGTCGACGTCCGCGTAGTTACGATTTTTGTTGTGTTGTTGTGTTGAGAGTTTTTCCAGAATGAACTGAATGAACTGAAGACCACGCTCTGTTTTACAGGTGATCAGTGTCAGGAGTCATCTGCATTAACTCCTCAAAGCTAATCTTACCAGGACGACTGATACTGAGGTATTATGACGTAATTTTGATTATTTTGTTCGACTCTAACTTTGAAACTTGGTCAGTCAGTGAGGCGGCATTAATGCGCCATTAATGGACGGGATGGGTATTAACTTGACCTGAGATGTTCTTGCAGGCAGTTCGCTATGGTTCGCTTACTTTGCACAGTTTGTATTTGAAGGTTCAGTTTGTAAGATCTAGGTGAAAGGGATCTATTTGCAGAAAGTGAATATCAAATAATCCTAGTGATGTTTTCACTAGTGTGAATCATATATTTTAAGAATTGTGGTTTTCTTTACTCTAGAATGAGCCCTTTATATTTAAATATTTTATATTTACATCAGGAGTATCTCCTCTACAGAGGCCACAATGTTTTTATACAGTAGCCCAGACTGGACAAACTAAACACCTGTTGAGTTTGTATTATAACGGAAGACTACCACTGGTTCTCTCTCATGTTTCAAAGGGGAGGGTGAGGTGAGGGTATTCAGCTGCTACATGTCACTTCACCACTAGATGTCACTAAATTCTACACACTGAAACTTAAATCTCCTACACACACATATGTTTATAATAAAATCATGTATTTGTTAAGTGCCTTATAAAAAACATTTTCAAGCTAATGAGTTGGACTTTGTTAATATTGTGAAGAGTACAGATAGAATTTGTTAAAGCATTACTGTAATACTGAGTTATAGCCAAGCAGGCTTATATTGAAAATGTTGTGATTAAGTGTGTTTGTCCAGAATAATTACAGAATAACCATTTCTGATTTCAGTACAGTTGAGTATCACTGTAACCTGTGCTATGTCATTATAGTAACCCTGCTCACTTATGTATGAGTGATGATGATGTGTACTAAAATGTTGTTTGAAGTCAGAAATCATAAGAATAACACTGGGAATACATTCCGTGACAAAGAAGAGGACAATTTAATGTATGTTTTGTGCACTTATAAAAAGGGTTATAAACTGAAACAGAGACAGACACTCAGAGAAATGTTGTGTATTTGAAATTATGTTGAATTTGAATAAGATGCAGTCTGGAAGATGAACTGAATGCATGTTTTCATTGCTGCTGCATTCACAGTGTATTTTACAGATTTTTCTTTGCACTCATCTCTTGATTGGAAACATTAACAAAAGTCTAAGTGTTTTTAATAATTGCATTCTATATTTTTGTGCTGTATTTTAATTATCTCTGTTCAATGTCTTTACCTCCATGTTTGAAATAAAGCTGAACTATGTCACAGACAGGAATGCGCTAAATGGTGATTATATTTTATTTTATATTTTGGG